AAAAAAAAAAAAAAAAAAAAGATAGTTTTAAGTCCGAGTTTTCTGACACTTGCCACTGAAAACATCCTACTAATACAAGGCCCTACTTGCACTGCCTAAGACATTATAGCAAAGGTTCTCTTACTAAGCTCTTTTGAAAGTTTTTCTTCACTGCTCTAAAAAATAAAGTATACTAGAAAAAAAATATTTTCCTCCCAGGCAACCCTTCCTTTCCACTGCTGCTTCTATTCTTTCTCCTGGTACTTGTTTCAAATCCTCTCCTTTTTTCTCATGATATAGGAGTCCCAAAGAGAGGTTGGGGTTTTCACAATTAATCTCATCACAAAGGATGAAGCAAACTAATCTACAGTGACAGAAGGCAAATCAGTGGTTGCCCAGGGATGAGGCACAGTGGGTGAAGGTGACGAAGGAAACATGAGAGGATTCTAAAGAGATACAAGGAAACTTTTGGGAGGTGACAGATATGGTTATTATCCTGACCACTGTAATAGTTTCACATACATACACATATGTCAAGATTCATTAAAATTTGTATATTTAAAATGTGTGCAGTTTATTATATATAAATTATACTTCAATAAAGCTAATACGTTTGGGTTTTAAAAATAAGAGAGTTTGGCTGGGTGCAGTGCTCATGCCTGTAATCCCAGCACTTTGGGAGGCCGAGGTGGGTGGATCACCTGAGGTCAGAGTTTGAGACCAGCCTGACCAACATGGAGAAACCCTGTCTCTACTAAAAACACAAAATTAGCCAGGTGTGGTGGCACATGCCTGTAATCCCAGCTACTTGGGAGGCTGAAGCAGGAGAATCGCTTGAACCCGGGAGGCGGAAATTGCTGTGAGCCAAGAGCGTGCCATTGCACTCTAGCCTGGGCAACAAGAGCAAAACTCCATTTCTAAACAAATAAATAAATAAGATAGTTTTACGGAGTGGCTGTTTCTGTGCAATCTGTAGAGATTTTTCCTTAACCTTTAAACTACAGGTAGAATTAAATAAATCCTTATCCCAAACTTACAGGGACATATGTCTTCTTTTAGAAATCAGTTATATTTGCCGTAGCTAGAGAGTACATTTTCAGTGAGCCAATCACCAAAAGATTTGCAAAAAAAGATTTTTATCTAATGCCCACTTCCACTTCCACTTGTAAGTTATGCTAAAAATACATAGGTACACCAAGATTCCTTAAAATCCTGGACATCCTCAAATTACACAATGTTCTGGGATCCAAGTTCTTTTATTTGCTGCTGTCAATTCCCACCCACTCTTTCACCTCCTTCTCCCTGGCATTCAATGAATCCACAAGCCTCCCTATTCCCTCTCTCTCTCACAAACATCAACAAAGGGATAAAATAACCAGCTTTACACTGAGATAAAATCTGAATTCCTAAAGGCAAAAAGGCCCACATGTACCTTCCTATTGCCTAAGAAGAGGAGGCTACTATATTTGTGTGCCACACAGGGCACCAAACAACTAGAGGAGAATCTTTTGTAGTCTTTTCCTCTTATATGCCAAAAGCTAGACAACTGATGGAGAGAGGAGTAAAAAGAAAAGGCAGCTTACCCATGGAGTAGAGGTTGTCAAAGCTCTGGTGCATGCGGATAATCTCATAGTAAAGTTCATCATAGCTGCTGGGGGTTGGCAGAAATGTGTCGCCATATGTGATGAACATATTAAATAGGTTCACAATCTAAAAACAAAGCAAAGGCCCATATATAGGCATCATGCTATGCAGACCAGAAATTATCAGTGGTATGCTGTAGCCAGCTCTTACTGTTTTATAAGAGATGACTATAAAATTTTCAGGAATTTTATAAGCCAGTGGTTAAACACAGCCATTGTTTAAAATTTCACTCATATAAACATATAATTAAATAAATTATATTAAAATGAAAGCAGCAAATACTAAAAACTTATCACTTCCCTAATTATTTTCTACCTTTTACTATAACCTATGCTCTGGAGATTTATACCTATTATATCTGTGTGGTGGAAACACCACATAATGGTGTGCTACTGCACATTGCTTCCCAACTCTGCATGACTCTGATGTCACATTGATAGCTTGAAATTGGCCAGGGTGGGTGTAGCTCTACAATGAAAATCAGCAAATGCTATGAATCAAGACTTTTTTTCCCTCTAATGTTGAACATTTAAGAACACATTGTATAATATCCTAAGAAGACAGTCAAAATGCACAATGGCTTCCTTCTATTCCAAATAACCAGCCAGATAAATAAGCATTTGCAATGTCCCTCAGAAACCAAGTGCAGCCATGATGGAACCCTCAGAGGCTTTGCTATTTACCAACATAGAGACCGCAGTAGTCTACAGTGCAGTGTCTCAGTTGGGACCAAGGCTCACTATTCAGACACAGAGATCTAATCTATACCTGCCCCTGCCAGACAACATACTTTCATGAAGGAAAGAGAGTCATGCAGAGTTTGCCAAAGACATAGGTGAGAGTAGGGACCACTAGCCCAGATTCTGATTAAATATATATATATATATATATGCCTGGTTCCCTCTATGACTTGGTCCCTGGACAAACCAACAGCTCCTGTTTCAAACCAGTATATTTCTGCCTTAGCATATGGCTTCAGAAAAATAAATACTTGTTTTGATACTCACCATAAGGGCTAATGTAAAAATGTTGTGTTTGGCCAAAAGTACAGTCTCATTTGACATAAGGAACTTCAGCAAATTTATCAAGGCTTTAAAAAAGAGAGAGAGAAAGAGATATCAACATCTATTCACGCCATAACTAATAAAGCTAAATAAAAACAGACTAGCTCTAAAAATATTCAGAGTTTGAGTAAGTCTCAGCCACCAAGGTCTTTTAAAAAGCAGATAAGGTAGGTATATCTAAGGAAAGCACTCACCTTTCCAAGCACGTGTATGCTTATCTGCTCATGGAAGGTTTTTAAATATCTACTTCTTTTCCCACTTCTTAAATAGCAATTAAGCTCAGAAATTTGACTATAAAACTGACATCTTGGTGTTTCAAATTTACTCCCACATGGTGATTTCCCCATCAAATCTGCTCAATTTACAGGTGAAAATGAGGGTCCTCATTCCACTCTCAGCTGCTAGCTTCTATTATCACCAGGCTTTAGACATGTATGCGTTTCAGACATCAATGCTAAGAGCAACATGTATCCATTCTAACTGGTCACCAGATGTGGCAGCTATACTGTAGAACTACAGCTGGGCTGCAGCTCTAGGTGAGGAGAGCTCATAAAGAGAAAAAAAGCCTTTAACTGCTCTAACTCTTCAACCAAAGTGTAGCTTGCACTGACCTCTCTTGACAGTGACAACATTTACTGAAATCTCTACTTGGCAATCCTTAGTGAGGGGAGAGATTGCTAAAACCCAAGCAACCTCAGTAAAGAGGTTTGTTGCTAAGTCCCTAGGTTAACAGTGCAGCTTCAGACATTTTTGCAAACAAATTTTAAGCATAAAAGAAGTTATCAATTACCTTATACTCATTCACCTAGCACATTTGGTCCATGAAATGAATCCTGCTTCTCTGCCCATCTCAGATAATGCTCCTGTACCTACCTCCCCTACTTGATGGAATACTATAAAAGAACTCAGCAGCTGCAGGCAATCTGTGGTCCTTCCATCTTCTCCCCCTCAAACTCCCACCTTCCACCGACCCAAGAAAAGGCTTGACCTCTCTTTTTTTAGGACCATATCTGCTTCTTTGTCAGCAAAGAAGTTCATTCTCCCATGCTGTCGGAGTTTTGTGTGAAGTTTACTACTCTTAAAGAAGAGATGTGAGCTTTGATTTGGAACAGCAGGGAATGATGAGTAGGAGTGAGACTCTCCAGACTCTTACTGCCTGCCACACAACACCCCTCACTCTCAATCCTTTAAAAGCACAGGTACAGTAAAGAAACAGCAGGCAAGGAAAGTACAAGAGGCTGGCTTCACCCACATTCTGTTTCTAAAGCCTAAATCTTCCCCTCAAATAGCAAAAAAGCCTTGCCAGGGATGAAAGAAATAGGCATCTTCATTTATGAACTCTTTACCCCTGGCCCCAACTTGGGTTCTCTGGGATTTCATAATGAAAAGGTAAATGATAGGCAGCTGGCCCTTTTAATGGTGCATGTTAAGTGATCAAGTGCTCTGTTGGGCTGGGGGCAAAAAAAAAAAAAGGATCCCACTCAGGATCACACAACCTGCTTAGCTCCTACCAGGAGCACAGGAATAAGGAGGCTAGCTAAAATCCACATAAAAATGACTAACCCAAACTTCCCTCCTTAATGAAGATCACCTTGCTGAACTATGTTGGAGCTGCCCACCCCACCACCTAATCCCCAGAGCTTAGACAAGCCCTGTTAATTTTATATTACCTGACAATCAGACTCTATAAACTCATAGAGACGAGAGAAAGGGATGGGTAGCACACATGGAGCTCTGCAAAATTTAATAGCTAGAGACAAAGCAGCTTTTACACACATCCAATCAACAAGGGCTTTTGTCCCTAGCAAAACACAGCACGGAGATGCAGCCTCAGCAGTGGCTATGTGGTAATTAAGGGGCAGGAAACCTGGAGGAAAAGATGTCAGAGCAATGATTTATTGCTCCTCTGCTGGACTACAGCTAGTCTTGATCTCTGGGATTCAGAGTCCAGGATGACAAAGTGATAAATATTAGAGGAGTAAAAGAGCAATTCTGGCACAGGCCAAGAGGCAACCTGTGTCCCAACTGCCACAGGCATTAGCGGAGCCACAGTATTGAGGGAGAATCCAGTACTACAATACTCTGAGAGTCAGTGCTAGGGCAGCTTGCATTCTACCCCTGAAAATGCAGGTCAGATATCCAACTCCCCAAAGAGCCCAGGTCTTCTCACCAGGAAGTAAGAATTCTCTACAGGGAATTTAACAGGCAACTAAAATGATGCCTCTGACATCACAGATGGCAATTCTTCAAGACAGAATGTTCCAAATATCCCATGAAATAGCGCTTTTCTCCATCATCATCTCCCTGACTTCACACTCATTATATCAACTGTTCAGTGTCCTATACACCACTGTACACTGATTCTAGACTCTGATCTGATATGATGGGAGTTCTAAGTCAGTGAGGCTTTGACATAGCTGATTATAGATTTTTAGAGCTAGAAAATACGTTAGGTCATTTAATCCAATTTCCTCATTTTTTGATAAGAAAATTCCGTACCCCATTCTACGCTCACCCCAAACTAGCTAGTGACTAAGTTGCAACTAGAACTTGGTCTCCTGTTTAGTGTTCTTTCTACCATGCCATTAAGAAGATTAAACAAATAAAGGTACGAGATCAAGTTGAATGTTAAAGGGGGGATATAGCTTACTATAAATGGCGTGATTAGGTCTGCTCACCATACTGCTACCAGCACTTCTCTAGACTCTGGTTTATAACTTTATCTACCTGCTAGCTGCTCTATGTTATTTTCATGTATTTGGTCCCCTTTTTCCCTTGGTCCTCAGCTACTTGTTAAAGTACAAGTGTTTAATACCTCATTATTGCCTTCCTGCCACTCACTGGCAACACAAAAAGACTCCCAGAAGCTTTGCTCAGCCTCAGCAGGCTTCTCTCCCAGCTCCTGGGCCTGTTCTCTGCTGTCACCTCTCTTCCCCTTGTGGCTGCTTTCTCTCTCATATCTTTTTTTTTTTTTTTAAGCACAGAACTATCAACTAAAACTGTTCCTAATTCCCTCAGTCAGTGTTGCTTTCTTCAAAATTAGGTACTGCAAATGGAAGATGATTGGATATGGACATTAAAGGGAGCCAAGATCCCCTTTCTTTACTCAAACTCAGAACCAAAACAAACAAAAAAAATGGTTATAAACAATTAAGAACCAGGTTTATTTATAAACCATTATAATACAGACTAAGCTTAGACAGGGTTTAGGCCAAAAAAGACAGAGGTTTAGGCCAAAGAAGAGAATGCTCTTGTGTCAAGGGCAGTTTCAAGGACAGCTGAGAACTGGCACTCAGGATCTCAGTGCCAACACAGAGCTCATGCTGGCAGGCTCCTGACTCACCCCCTCCACATACACACACATTTTTAGAAAACTGCCCTTGATCCACTTGTCCACTTGATGCCATCTGGGCACATGACCAGCCAAATTGTTCCAAGGACACTCATAGAAGTAGCCATACATACAGTGAAGAGTTAAGATAACTATAAAATAAGGGGCTGATTGTACAAACATAGTATTGTTAATTAGTCATATGTCTGTAAGATATATTATGAAGATATGAGGGGTAGTATGTACCTTTTAATTTAATCCTTTGCTTTATCATGTTTCTCATTGTTAAATAATAGTTTTTAAAATGAAGTAGGGGGTAAAGGGCTAACACAGGATTCTTCTTCACCAAAGGCCTGACTCCTGGTCTGAGAGATTTCCAAAGAAGCATGACCTTATGCTATAGAAACTTAATACTGTGTAAACAGTTTTGCCCATTACACCTCCTCGAAAAGAATGGCATGCCTTGTTGCAGAGAATATCCTTTTGAATAAGGGCAAGCTTGGCAGTTGAGACCTTCCAAACCTTGAGATAATGTCTATGGGCCCACACTCCACAACCCTGGGAATGGGATGTCCCAAAATACCAATGCCAAGAGACATTTCACAGAGGAATGATCATTTCCTCCAGAAGAGTGATGACAACTACCAGTTAATTATTGTGCCCAGAAGCTCACACAGAGCATTTCAAACCTTCCTTTTTTCTAATACCCTCTAACTGATACCTTAAAAAGAGACCCTTAACTACAGAAATCACCTCCCTCAAACTGCATTCACCTCTTTTCAAAGTGAGAAACACCATGGTCATAAATGGCAGGAAAGGTAACACTTACTAGGTGCTTGCTAGGTGCCAGATATTATGTAAAGCAATTAAGGTACATTCTTCTCAGCCAGGTGCGGTGGCTCATGCCTGTAATTCCAGCATTTTGGGAGGCCAAGGGCGGATCACGAGGTCAAGAGATCGAGACCATCCTGGCCAACATGGTGAAACTCCGTCTCCACTAAAAAAATACAAAAATTAACTAGATGTGGTGGTGCGTGCCTATAGTCTCAGCTACTCGGGAGGCTGAGGGAGGAGAATTGCTTGAACCTGGGAGGCAGGAGTTGCAGTGAGCCAAGATCATGCCACTGCACTCTAGCCTGGCGCCTGGTGACAGAGCGAGTGTCTGTCTCAAAAAAAAAAGTACATTCTTCTCACTGTACTGGATCCACCCAAACTTCAATTTAAAAAACATTTGTTGGGGATATGGGAGCTGTCTAGGGCCAATACCTATATTTGCCACCAAAAACCATACTTTGATCACAACTCCACTGATTAGCCCCTCACATATCAAAGTGACCAAGGGAAAAATCCTGTAAGCTCAGAGTACATCTCTTTTTTCTTTTTTCCTTTTTTTTTTCTTTTTATGACAGTTTCGCTCTGTCACCCAGACTGGAGTGCAGTGGCGTGATCTTGGCTCACCGCAACCTCCGCCTCCTGGGTTCAAGAGATTCTCCTGCCTTAGACTCCCAAGTAGCTGGGATTAAAAGCACCCACCACCACGCCTGGCTAATTTTTGCATTTTTAATAGAGACAGCGTTTCCCCACATTGGTCAGGCTGGTCTCGAACTCCTGACCTCAAGTGATCCACCCAGCTCGGTCTCCCAAAGTCCTAGGATTACAGGCATGAGCCACCATGCCTGTCCAGCTCAGAGTACATCTCTCTAAATGTCTCAGGACTTCACTCTATTGGCCTAAGATAATTAAACCCACACAATCTCAAAAAAACAAGAGACTGCAGAAACTCAAACAAGTATTGTACACCCATGTTTACAGGAGCATCATTCACAACAGCCAAAAGGAGGAAGCAACCCAAATGTCCATCAACAGATGAATGAATAAACAAAATATGGAATATACATATGGCAGAATATTATTCAGCCTTAAAGAAAATTCTCACATGTGCTACAACATACATGAACCTTGAAGATATTATTCTAAGTGAAATAAACTTGTTAAAAAAGGACAAATATTGTTTAATTCCATTTAAATGAAATACTCAGAATAATCAAATTCACAGAGTCAGTGGTTACCAGGGACTGGCATGAGGGGGAATTAAGAGTTATTGCTGGCCAGACGCAGTGGCTCACACCTGTAATCCCAGGACTTTAGAGGCCAAGGCAGGCAGATTACCTGAGGTCAGGAGTTCAAAACCAGCCTGCGACATGGTGAAACCCTGTCTCTACCAAAAAAAATAAATAAATAAAAAATAAGCTGGGCATGGTGGTGAACGCCTGTAGTTCCAGCTACTCAGGAAGCAGAGGCAAGAGAATCACTTGAACCCAGGAGGCGGAGGTTGCAGTGAATCGAGATCACACCACTGCACTCCAGCCTGGGCAACAGAGCAAGACTCATTCTCACAATAAGAAAAAAAAGGAGATATTGTTTAATGAGTATTGAGTTTCTGTCTGGCAAGATAAAAAAAAACTACTGAGGCCGGGCGCGGTGGCTCAAGCCTGTAATCCCAGCACTTTGGGAGGCCGAGGCGGGTGGATCACGAGGTCAAGAGATCGAGACCATCCTGGTCAACATGGTGAAACCCCGTCTCTACTAAAAATACAAAAAATCAGCTGGGCATGGTGGCACGTGCCTGTAATCCCAGCTACTCAGGAGGCTGAGGCAGGAGAATTGCCTGAACCCAGGAGGCGGAGGTTGCGGTGAGCCGAGATCGCGCCATTGCACTCCAGCCTGGGTAAAATGAGTGAAACTCCATCTCAAAAAAAAAAAAAAAAAAAACTACTGAAAATGAAAGGTTGTGATGGTTGCACAATGTGAATATACTTAATGCCACTGAACTGTATGCTTAAACATAGCTACAATGGTAAGTTTTATGTTTATCTTACCCCAATTAAAAAGAAAAACAAGACGTCAATGTTTGTCTTTCCACAGACACTCCCAAGAGCCTCACAAACACTCCAGTCCCACTTTTTGTCACCTCTGCATAACCGACTGGCTGACATTCACGTCAAAGTACGCCAAACTGAGTACAGGGACAAACATACAAAGATGCTTCCTCACTGACAGGGAAAAGGAAAGAAGCCAAAAATAATTAACAGAGAGCACATGGACTTGAGCAGGAATGCAAATTCAAAATGAACCCTGGGCAGCCTTCAAGGCAACTCTGTGGCAATCTTAAAAATAATCACCAAATCCCTTCAGCACCTCTTGGGAAAAATTTAAAAAGGAAAAAAGAAAACAAAATAATCACCATAGCTCGAAATCCAAACTAACAGTGTACTAAGTACCAACACTATCCTACGAAATCCTCAGGGACCCTGGGTTTAACGCCTAATCTTACTATTTCATCTATTATACTAAATGAGGCGCCAGGTACCTGGCTCCAAGTACTGTTACTCTGCACTAAGTGAAGAACTGAGAAATTACTGCAGTAAAATATTTGAGGTATTACATTACACATTAAATATGTTTAAGTTGTAGGGAAGTGAATACTCAGTACACACTCATTTATTCATTGGAAAGTCTTTTATAGCAGGCCCCTTGAAAAATTAGTTTCTGGGCTTTTTTCAGGAACTTCAAATTGACTACAAATGCTGCCTCTTTTGACTCTGTACTAGAGGCAACTATCAGTCTCACACTCAGCTTTGGTCCATGTTCCCTCCCTTGGGGAGTCTTGTGCATCGTATTTGGTGAAACAATATGATAACAGTGTGTAGAGTTCTGACTTTTCTGCAGTATGCAGATGCAGGTGGAATACGGAAGAGTGTACGGGTTCTGGGAAGCTGAGCCAGGACCAGGTACTCTGATGGTTCCCCTAAGTCCCATGTAAATCATGTAAATTCCCAGAGGCAGAGGCAGCCAATCTTTTTTTTTTTTTT